TACAACAAACCGGGCATGCCAAGTACCATGTTCAAGGCTTCGAAGGTTGCTGACTCTTGTGCGCAAGGCACCGGCTTGGAAAAGCTCCTCCCGGTAGACGACACTAAGCTCCTGCCGGGGATCGGCATGTGTTTGATGGCGGATCACACTCCTTCGCGTCCTGCGTTCAGTGCACTACACAAGATACAAAAATCGCCTTGATGTACAAGTCGAGTCTGCGATAGCTTCCATTGCAAACTTGCATGTAGAGGGGCTGGATGTTTCGGGTGCACAGCAGCCAGAGATGTGATCTTAAGGCCTTGGGTTTGGGGATGAGCGCGTCGCCTCCCCGCTCCCATTCCACACTGGCATGACGCACAACATCGATGGATAGAACTTGCATAGCGACAAAACCGCAAACCCTGAACGGCAGGATCACTTCGCGAACCGGAACGATCCCGGAACAAGGACGAAGAAACCCAAGGCCAAGCTCACCGGGTCCTGGAGAGCATTCGCACAGAGTGGAGCCACATCGCCATAGTTGATTAATGCGGCATGTCTAATCATGCCATGGGTCTCCTCAGATGGAAAGTTGGGGGTTGTGATTAGAGGCTGGGCGTTAAGCTGCAAGCGGTTTGAGTTCGGTAGGGTCTGTTGTGCAGACCGTGTGCAACGATGAGTGTGGTAGGGAGATGTAGACCTTTGCGCGCACCTGCGGCCTTGGACATCTGGAACTTAATCCCAATCTTAAAACACCAAACCTGAGCGCACTAATAGCCCAAGAACGCATTTCAAGAACAACATTTGAAAGTTCAGCAAAACCCTTTCAGAATTCACATTGCAGTCGTTTTCCAACCACGCATTCCGGAGCCTCAGCAACGGAAATCCTCAAAGTCCAAAACCCAACCCCGCAGGTACCTACTTTTTAGGGCCCTAGGGCTGTAGTACCCTATGTAGTAGGTACCTGGGGGGGTTAGGGAAAACCAAACACACAGCCTCGTGCGCGCCATCCGCTCTGGATCCCTCGGAGCCTCAACTCTACGCCATAATGGAAACTTTACCCCAACCCCCCATGGTACCTACTATATAGGGTACTAGAGCCCCTAGAGCCTTATATAGTAGGTACCTGGGGGTTGGGTTAACCGCCTTAACAACCCCCTCTTCGACGTCCTTATTAATGCAAGTTTCCAGTATTGGCATCCCCACCTCCTGCTTCAGCGCTGACCGCACCTGCGAGAATTTAGGGTTCATTGCATGAGCATCCAAAGTCGCAGACGAGCTATCACCGCAACACCGATTCGAGCGGTAGCAGAGTCGGGTGACAGTCGCTCTTTCAATCCTAAGACGCGCCGCTTTGTTGTTTACACCCGGGGCCCGGGGATCTGAGCTCCTCAAGTTCGTCCATTGCAACAGTTCTAATGGTCGCGAGGGTCGACAGGTCACCTATGTACCTATGTACCTTCAAGTTCCCCGACACAGTAAGTCATCCAAAACGCAGTGACCTGTGGTCAACTCCTATCTTGGGCAATGTGACTGCTTGGAGGTTCATGGGTAGTTATAGGTAGTAGGGTTATATGTAGGGTAACTATAGTTACAACCTATATTAGGGGACTTATAACATATCACTACAGATGAACCTCCAAGTATCTAGAGCAATGTGACTGTGGGATGCTTTTGTTGGGCCTGTTGCTGAGCCTCCGCTTGGAGGTTCATGGGTAGTTACAAGTGGAGTTATGAGTCCCTAATATAGGTTATCACTATAGTTATCCTACTTCTAAACCCTACTTACAACTACCCATGAACCTTCAAGTAGGAGTGCAGGGCTTCGGTGCTGGCAGCCTTGTCCGGTAAGTGCTTCAGAGCAGGGATGTCGCCGAAGATCACTTTGCCTTTTGCGAGCACCGGATAGCCCGGGGTGTGGGGGCCGTGCTCTTTATTTCCAATATTGTTCTTATTGTTCTTATCAGTTTGCTCTTACTCTTAATTTTTCTTGCGGGACTTCTTTTTTACCGCTGCGGGGTCCAAGCTTGCTCACCCAATCCCGCAAAGCTTCACCTGTCACAGTGCAGCTCGCCACAAGCCAGAACCGAGCCTCGAGCCCCAGGCTCTGTCCCCGACCACCAATCCTGAACGCCCCAAGTAGCGCTATGCTGCAATCATGATCTCGTTGGTGTCTTTTGTAACGGCTCAGCTGCTGTTAGAAAGAGGTCTAAACCCAAAGGGAACCCCGCCTCTCGAAGGGACGACCTTAAGAAGGCCGGGTAGGGAAACGTGAAGCTGACTGTGCACAACTCCCACCATAGCCCTTCTTTTGCTAATTTTACCCCAGTAAGGAGGTCTTTGACCTACACGGGAGGAGCGAACATAGGGACCTGTAGTATTCGACTTGGCTTTGGGAGACATTGCTGCTACCAAGTCGACACAACTGTTGTTGCTACTCCTTTTCGCTCCTACCATAAAGCCCGCAGGATATTCCTTTACCTACGTCCATTCTGGAACTTAAGGGACATCGGAGACAACTACAAGCTCTTTATGAGGCCTCAAAACAGAACTCAAGCAGGTGCGGAGCCAGGCACTGGTCTCCCTGCCAATACCACGCTGACGGATGCAGCGGAGGATGTCAGCCGAGAGCTCCACCGACACTCGCTTCCTTGGGGTCCCAACGGATCTAAATCATTTCGGGGTCGTATGTCGAGGTATTTGTGAATATTGCGGTGTGGTTGCAGTGAAGGCTTTGGGGTTCTGGGCTCATGGTAGTTTTCACCCCTCAAGCTCGAGGTTCAGGTGAGCAAGTCTCCAGTGACCCGATTCTGCTGTTGCAGCGCATGCGTGCGAAACAAGGTTCGATGAACATGACTTCAGCCACAAATAATCCTTCCGAGGCTGAGACTTGCAGCGATGCTACAGTTCGACGGGGCATAAAGGTCTAGTTCTTGCTTGCAAACCCTAAACTGGAAACCTTGAAACCTGAGTTGGACGATCTGGTGTCGAAAAGTCGGAAACTCCATGGGCCGAACCTGCACCAACACTATTGAAATCCAAATGCCTAGCCTGACACTCCAAACCAGCCCTGAACCCTTGCCTGAAGCTATAAAGCCTGGCGCAATGAGACCTTATTTTTGGGGAACTCTTTAAGTCTATATACTACATAGTACTTCGTGTCCTCAAACAATGTCTGTGCATATTACCATTGCACTGCAATTCACCTCCGCGAGACTAAACCAAGCATCTCAGTCACATATCGTCTCACCATTTGGCTTGTGCGCACCTCCTGCGCAGTAAGCGTGCTGAAGCGTGCGAGAGACCTCGGCATCGTGTTCACTTCTGGCCAGCATCCCCCAACGGATCCTAGCCTGCAAAGGGAGTAGTAGGACTGTGGCTGAAGATCTCTTGTGACCATCGTTCTCAAATCTCTATGATCACCGGGCTCCGAAAGTGGGATGAAGGTAGGTGAGAGGATCCCCAACTAAGAGACTTCATCAACGGGATCTTTAATCCTACGGTTGATGATATAAATCCTGCATTACTCATAATAACGAACAAACCATAATTCCCATCATTTACGTCCTTAAAGTAATGCAGGACTTATATCATCAACCGTACCTACCTTCATCCCAAGGTCTGAAGCATCGGGGATGAGCACCTATGTAGGGATATTGCTCTGAGCTTTCGTTCCGCTGGAAGCCAAGAAGCTGGTTGATGGAGCCAATGAAGAAGCTGAACCTGGCTAGTAATGTAGCGGCTCCCAAACAGTCTTTCTGAATATGTACCTCTTTAGAACCCCTAGGTGAACTCAAAAGTTCTGTTAAAGCCAAAGCCCTGAACTCCCAAAACTCTGAACCCTGAGCATCTAGAGGAACCTGAGACAAAACAGAAAGTTTCTCACAATTCCTAAACCCTAAACCCTAAACCCTAAACCCTAAACCTCACACTTCCCTAGCAGGGACATAATGAGGCCGGAGAGTGTCGCAAAGAGCGAGAAGAGTCGCTCCGGGGTGTTGACGGCCACGACATCCATGGCCGCTGGCGTGAACCTTGTCCATTCTTGGAATCCTAACACACATACGTTCATATAATACATATATATATATGTGGCAGGAACCTT